TTCAATATAAGTATGTATATTTTTTTTAAAATATTGTATGGCTACAATGATTATCTGTTTAGCATATTTGTATAATAAGGCTATGATTTTATTAAATAAGCTTTGAATATTGTATACTTCAATAACAAGAGTATTTTAGTTCTTGGATTTAATTTAGCTCCTTGAAAAGAAAGCTGAGTAGGTAAATTAACCTTTTTTGAGTTTTAAAAATAAGCTAGACCATTATCCCAGCATTAGATTTTTGCTTCTTGTAGTTCTTAATATGTTTGTATTACTTGCATCTTCACTATATTAAATGTGTTAAATATTCTTAAGTTACTTTCTGTTGTTGTTGTTGTTGTTTTTGTTTCTTTTGTTGTAGATATAATTTCACGTGTTTCAGAGTTTTGGGTCTCTTTTAAGAAGTTTTCTTTGTTTTGTTGTACTTTGTTAGATAATATTTTAATTTTGCTAATTTTCTTATTTACTTGTTTATCTTAGCTAAAAAAAGTTGTTAACTATGTTCTCTTGTAAAACTGTTTTTTTATTTGAGATCTTACTGTTGTTGTGTTTAATAGCATTAAATACTATATTCTTTTTGTTTATATTGTTGTCTTTATTAATGTTTGGCCTAGGCTCTTGGCTAGAAGCTATTTTTTTATTAGTTGTAGGTAAGTCTAGATGCAAGATGTCTTTTTTTTTTAGAACAAGGGTAGCAGCTCTTGTAAATAAACCTTTATTATCTTCTTTTTGCCTTTGTATATGTATTACTTTGTAAAAATATGAATTGCTCATTCTAGAATTTAGTAGTTTTGGAAAGAGTATGTATCAATCTTCTAATAATTATATTTATTATATTATATACTTTATCTATTGATCTCTTTTTATCTTTACTAATATTACAAAATTTATTCTTTATCTGTGAAATCAAATCAGCTAGATATTAAATCCATTATAGCTTTTTCTATAAATCTTTTATTTAGCAATTTTTTAGTAGTTTACTACTTTACTATATCTAATTTTTTTTTGTGCTATGTCAGTGTGAATTATTAATTTATCTAAATTAATATTAGAACAATAATTTATAATTACTAAATTAAAAACTGTAAATTAGTTTTAAACTATAATAATATAATTCCAAAGGCTTTTTGGCTAGTATTCTATTAAGAAAAAGGTTTCTTGACTAGTAATAGTTTATTTTAAACAATTTCTAGATTTAATTGTTTAGAAAAAAAAACAAACTATTATATATTTTTTATGAAATTAATTTTTATATTAAGTTGCTATTATTAACTAAAAAAAATATATATTATCTTTTATTTTAAGTAAAGAGAAATTGTAAATTCAACCTATACAAATTGTTAATTAGAAGTTTTAAATTTTTTAATATATTAATTTGAGATATAACAACTAGCAAGTTATATTATATTCAAATATAAGCATAAATAAATATAAAATAGTAATTAAGTTTCATTTTAAAAGGTTTAAGATAATATATTTATATAAAGAATTCTTATTAATTTTTATAAAGTAAATCAATTATAATTATATTATATAAAACATTTTTATTAGTTTTTTCATAAAGTAAATTAATTATATATAAAGAATTAATAATTTTATAAGATTTTTTTCTTCCTAGTCCACAACTAACTACTTTTAGAGTTTCTTTTTTTTTTAACCATTGTTATTTTAATTCTTTCAATCATTAAATATTTATTTATAAAAATTTTATTAATTGATTAATAATATATTATCTTTTTTATATTCTTTTTATATTTAATGATATATGGTAGTTTAATAAACAGTTTTTTTTTTATTTGAAAGATTATATCTAGGTGGCAATATTTTGTTTATTGAGTAAAGAATTTTTAACAAAAAAAACTTGAGATAATCAATTTTATAGATTTATACTATTATACAGAAATGCTAACAATAAAATATATTGTATTATATACTATTAATCAATAGTGAATATGTAATTTGTTAGTGCTTACAGAAGTTACTATAATTAATAAATTTAATAAAGAATTTATAACAATATTCTTTCTTTTAAAAAATAATATTGTTAATTATTTTAATATATGCATTTACTGTATTATTAGTGTTCAGACTTAAATAACTTTAGAATATTTTATTATTCAAACAATAAAAAAAATCCTAAAATAATATAAGTCTAAATACTAGTATGTATAGACTAAAACATTTTTTTGAATTCCTTTTTTGAGAATAACTATTAGAGAGAAACATGATAAGAATAAGAAGACTATTAAATTTACAAACAATAGCATCATGATCATAAATTTGATAGTGCTTACTTTTTCTATAACATATTTGAATTTTTTTTCTTAGTATAATTATTAAATATACAATTTATATGCTTTTGATACAGATTCAATCATTGATATATCTAAAATAGTTAGTGACTTGATTTGAAAAGGTAATGGTAATTAATTTTATAAATTGCTAAATTCCAAAAGAAAATTAAAACAAATAGCACTACTGTATAAATTTTTGTATTATCTCTACATGCATAAAGCTAAGCATAAAGAACATAGCTTATAATAAGTTAATAAATTGAAGTCTTACTTTTAAAAAGTAGCATATAAAAACTAAATTTACTAAAAAATCCTTATATAATTATATACCCATAATTCTAAATTTACATTTGTTATAGATCTAATTTGAAAACATAATATACAATTATTGTGCTTTGCAAAATTATATAACTTCTTGATTATTAATTTATTACAAAATAATTGCAATTGTAAATTCTAGAGCTAGTCAAATATGAGGTTATTTATAATGAATCATTAGCAATAACAATCACAATCATAATCAAATCATTTTACAAAGTACGATTAAAGAAAAATAATTTTAGCGAATACAATTAAAGTAAAACAATAAATGTTCTTATAAATTCTTCAATAATGTAATGCTTTTTTTTATCATTTATATCCAATAAAAATAAGTTACAGTTTCTTTATTATCTTGTAATAAAATAATACTATTTAAATACTATAAAAATTCAAAATTTGATCTCGAAGTATCAATAAAACTGCTATTATTTTATTCATCAAATGACTATTTTCTATTAAAAATTAAATAGATTATTAAATGAAGTAAAAGGAATTAATGAATTTGAAGATTCTATTTATTATTGACGTGCTACAATAATTCAGCAACTGTTATATATCTTCATGTATGTATGTACGTGCCTAAAGAGAAAAAGATATTGAAATAATAAATATTAAATTTACTTTTATTACTGTTGTTGGTGATAATTTGTCATTTTAAATGATATATTATAAATTTTTTAAAGAAAGCTATAAGATTATAATCTAAATATTAAGGCTCCAGACCTAAACAGTTCCTATTTTCTAGTATAATCAAAATTATTTTTTATCTCGAAACCGTAATCAATATTTTATAATTAATCCTTAAGATAATATCTAGCTAAAAAATAAAAATAATGTGAAAATTATCATCTTTACATTTTCTAAATGAAATTTAAATACCATTTAGGAGACTATATTAAAATATTAAAAAAAAAAAAACCTCTAAGCAATAATTGGATTCGAACGTGTCTTGAAAACGAATTCAGTTTAGATCTTTAAATGGGCTATGATAATTCAATCTACTGGGTTGGTTAAAAGTTCTTAACCAGGATCTTTTTTTGATATCTCCGCTAATTTTAAACGTTGCTTACAAATTTGTATACCCAAATAAATGAAAAGTTCTCAGAAAAAATCTTTCTGTTAAACACTAAATGACTTATTACGAATACAGTGTAGATTTATAAAAAAAAAACTTCATTATTAGCAGAGATAGCAAAAAGGCCCTGTTTAGGGACTTTTAACCGCCCAAATCCCAAATTCAAGCCCAAATTAATATCTCATAAACTTCAATAATAATTTTCATTTAAAAAATTGTTACATATTTTTATAGCTATATATAAGGCCATACAAACTTAATTAATTGGTTCTCATAACCCGACATGGTCAAATTCAACAAAATTTTGAAAAAAAATTTTTACTATATTTACTATCCGGGTGAACTTTTTAAAAAATTTTATATGATTTTTACATATAAAATTTTTTGAAAATAAAATTAAAAGCCGGGTTGCCGGGTCATTTTTAAAATTTTATGTTATGAGAACCAAAAAACTAATTTTATATGGCCTAATATATTTCAAAATATTAAGATTATTTCTTTGATTTAATTTTTTATAAAAGCAATTTGTTTTTTTGAGGTTTGGGGTTTGCCAGCAAGTATACTTTTAACCAACCTGGTATATTCAATAAAATAGATAGATGAGAATAATTAAATGTTAAATGTGTAACTTGGTATTAAGTTTATGTAGATAAGAGCGCCAATCAATCAAATTTCGAGTTTGATTTCGTTGAAAGTTTTTGGCGTAAAGAAAAAAACATAGATAGTATAATAATATGAATTAACAAAATTTTTTCGGTATAATAAAGAATATAAATTTACAATACACTTGACCGATACTGTATGCAAACTTAAAATTGGCTAAAAAATTATATGATATTAACGTATAAGTAATCAATTTTTATATTTTAAAAATTTATGAGTATAGTTAAAAAAAAGAAAAATATTTATTTTTTGGTCAACCACTTGAAAGATCTAATATAATAATACTGTATATATATACTATAAAATTGGTATTTGACAGAGAATCCTTGAAAATATTATTATTTTCTGTTGCAATTTATAAAATGGGGAAGTTAAAGAATTTTGTAGATTCCACGTGATGGATAATGAGATTACAGCAATTTGAAAAGCGCAGTATGCTGATACCCATGTAGATTACAAATTTCTCCAATTATTAATAGTAAAAAAAAGGTTTCCAAAGTTTATCTATTAAATAAGTTTTAATTTTTAATTAATTATACCTTGAAATACATGCAATACATGTAATAAAATTTATAATACAATACATATCAATATTAATAACATATAAATGATATAAATATAGCGTACAAATCTCTAACTTCAGAAAATTACAAAATTTGGCATCTACTAACATCAAATGCTGCTATTCCTACCAATGTTGTCGATAACTCAATCAATTTATCTAAACCTTTACCGATGGCCTCAAAAAGACCAGTTTCTATAGATCTCTCATTATTTTCTATTTTCCTTCTTATTTCGTCTATTCCCTTTCTTAGTTCATCCATTTTCCTTTTTAATTCATCTGACTCTCTTCTTTCATTTAATGATAGTCTTCTCAATGCTTTATTTAGCTGTTCTTGAAACGATCCTTCTGATGCTTCTGTCAATAATCTTTCTTCTTTTTTCTCTGCATTATTTAATTGTTCTTGCAATTTTTCGAGCTTTTTTTGTGATGTTTCGAGTTGTTTTTTCAATTTTTCATTTTCATTTATTAATAAGTCATCAATTCTTTTGTTTATCTTATTTAAGCTCTCTGGTCTGTAAACTTCTTGACAAGTTGCTAAATGATTTAATATCTTCTTTCTGGCTTCCTTACGAACCTTTTTATTAACATTAATTTGACTTTGCTTTCCTTCCCCCTTTATATTTAATGGTGGAATATCTAAATGAACAACCCTCCTATCACATGATTCAATTACTTCAACAATCGCTTCATTACTATCTTCAAGCAATAATTGGATATCACTTTCACATTCTTCTTCATTTTCAAAATTATAAAATTTTGTTCGAACGATAGTGGTATACTTAGTAATATCTTTATCAATTTTTTTATCAAAAAGAATATTTCTCAATATATCATAAGCTACAATTTCTTCTGGTGTTAATCTTTCTCCACATACAAATAAAATTTGATTTATTCCTTTCTTAACTTTTTTACATCCTTTAGCTATTTCAACTAATACTGTTCTTAGGCTCAAAGATGTATCACCAATTCCAACGGTATCAATAATTCGATATTTCACATTTACTATTTTACCATTTATATTTCTTTCTACATTAAATAACTCTTCTTGAATCTTTTTAGTTTGACTAAGACTTTTATCACTTTCTTTAAAAATTTCATTGAATTCTCCATTTTGTTTAAAATTTTTCTCATCATTTACTAACATATTGGCTAAGGCCGATTTACCTTGACCTGTACGACCAATTAATAAGATATTTCTTATATCTTCGCTCATTTTAATGGTATTTTAATGGTATGTATAATGTAGTAAATTATGAATCTAAGAATATGCTACTTTAGTAATGCAAAAGGTTTGTTTTTATCGATAGTATGCAAATTTGATAAATTAGAAAATAACTAAAAAGTTATTCCTTAGAGTTTATTCGTGTTACTGAAAGAAAAGGAAAACTAGCGGCTTGTATATAAATGTAAATAAACGTGGCATATATATATTTCTACATTGGTATACAATGAAAGTTAGCTTTGCGGCGTAGTCCGGAACTATGTTACACGGTTAGATAATACCAAAATTAAATAAATTGTAAATTGTAGGCTTTCTTTACCAAAGATTCACATATATATAATGTTTGTGGAAATTGTTTTTATCTTGGCTAGGACATATGTAACTTCAAGTCATTGCTACAATAGTACTGTTTATAACAGGTGAAACACACGTTAGCAATTAGAAAGTGGTTACGTACGTACGTACGTACGTATGTTTTGATGAAGATCACTATCTAAAATAGTATCTTAGCCCAATTAAATGAAATTTCTAAATTTCTAGAAAAAAAAACATGGTTTCACCCTCATGTGATATTATTTATCATTATAGGATTTTCGAATCTTATAAGCTTCGTAACCTTCTGGGCTTTTCAGAAGATCTGTGGTTTCATGAATGTTGTAAAAGAGAAAAGTTTTATCCAAACATTTAACCTAACACTAAAAAAAAAATTTTTTTGCGAGGACGATTTTAATACTCACCGGAAGTGAAATTCACCGGGGTGCTATATCTCAAAAACTAAGTAAACAGGATCGTAAAAATGTTCAGAACCCTCGATAACAATTTATTACAATCGCAAATTTTTTAACAAAAATACATTTGCATTCGTAACTTGTAATTGGATATATTAATGTTTGCTTTATAAAATTATACTTGCTTTTATAACATACAAAATTGAATTATATTTGCTTTACGTAACTCGCTATTTGAAGTAATTTGTTTTTATAACTCGCAATTTATAAAATTTATCAATGAATAAATTGCCATGGCTCGTATTACTCGAACAAAATTCGAATAAGTAATTCAATCGAATGATTCTAGCAC